CTCTCTCTATCTCTCTCTATCTATCTATCTATCTACCTATTTACCTATCTATCTATCTACCTATCTATCTATCGATTGATCGATCTATCTATCTATCTATCTCTCTCTCTCTATCTATCTCTCTCTCTCTCTATCTATCTATCTATCTATCTATTTATCTATCTATCTATCTACCTATTTACCTATCTATCTATCTACCTATCTATCTATCTACCTACCTATCTATCTATCTATCTATCTATCTATATGAACAGTATGTATGTAAATGTATAATATATATATATACACATATCATATATTGTACCTTGCTCCAGACCTGTTCGATGGTGTTTACAGTGCGTGTATGTTTACATTCTTGTGATTTCTTGTATCTCATTGCAGCTCCAAGGAGTTGGGAGGCGATGGACGTCCAAGCTTGGAAGAACAAGCAAGAGCTGCTGGTTGCACTTGGAGATACTTTCAGCTTCAACCTGTTTATCCTCCGTGTCTTTTTCTATTCCCATTAAAGTAAATTCACAAAGGGAATGGATCCAATGGATGCTTGATATGATTGATATGAACATATGAATTTATATATACGAATATTTGTATGTGTTTATGTATATTGTATATGTACACTGTATATGTATGTGTATCTATATTGTATATTGTATATTGTACATTGCATATTGTACATCATCGTATATGTATGTTTTATATGATATTGTTTGTGGATATTGTATATGTATATATTATATACGTATATTGTATATGTATACTGTATATGTATACAGTATATATATATATACATATGTGTTTTATGTATAGAAACATTTGTTGCACCATAGTAGATATAGTAGATATAAGATCGTTAATGATCCCATACCAAGCAATGTTTTTGCAGAACAACGAGCCAGGTTGGAACGCGCTCTCGTCTCACTGGTCGAACAGCCAGGTAGGACTCTTCAAGCTCAAAATGGGGGATTCAAGCCCAGCATATGGCCATCTCAGAGAACATGATGATTAAATTGATTACCCTCTGGTAATTTGTTACATAGCCATGGTATAGATGGCCCATTTGTAGATGGTTTACCTATTAAAAATGGTGATTTTCCATGGCCATGTTAAATAACCAGATGGTAAATCACGGGAGTTTGATGAATTTTTGATTCGAACAAAAACCCATGGCACCTCCCCAGCCGCCGTAAGATTTTTCCCCGCGATTCGCCTCAAGTGACAGGCAGCATGGTCGATCAGATCTTTGTGCAAGAATGGGTCGACTTTGAAGTTGAGATGAGACATTTCTTTGTGGAGGTTGATTTGCATGAGCCTTGCCGACAGCGAGAGTCGGCCAGGGTCGGCAGAGTTCTATTTCTGACATGCTCGTCCAATTTTGGGAATGCCGATTGTTAGTTAAGGGAAATTTAAAGAAAAGATATGGACATTTAAAGAAATATAAAGATACGGGATGACATGGATATGGATTAAAATCATTAAAACCTAGGGGCCCTTTTCTTCGGGATTGACAATGATTGATATCCATACGTACCAGCTGTTTTGGGCTTCACCACGGTGGGTTTGAAAAACAGCCTCAAAGTGAATGAAGCGGATGAGTGGTTGCTTTCACTCAGTATCAGTTGATTTAAAGGGAAAATTACAGGAAATCTGGAGGTTCTTCCATCAAATGAAAGTTGTGGGAAAACAGTTTCCACATTTGGACGTGGCATGTTGTTCTAGCTTCTCATCTTGTGCTGTACCTCGATTCAGGGAATCATAGTCCTCAAACACGCATAAACATGCCAAGATATTACTGAAGCGAATATAGAGCTAATTTCAAGTAGTTCCCAGATTCCAGATCGGCAAAACAATGTTTGGATGACTCTTTAGCTCTTTTCTGTGCTTTCTGCATTGACTTTCAGAGGCTGGTGCCTTTATCATTGGGTTGGTTTAGGGGAAAATCGACAGGAAAGCATGGTTTCTACATGTTCGCTGCAACCCCTATGTTTGCCTGTCCTTGATTCGGTGTGACCCTTACTAGTCATGTTGATAGATACATGAGATAGCAAGTGAAGTTGCATGGAGCTGGCAATCACCTACAGAGACCCTAAATTATGACCCTTAAGAATAGTCTCGTTGATAGGTACGTGAGATTGCAAGTTAAAGTGCCATGTGTGTGTGTGAGAGAGATTTTATACCTAAAGAAACACCACCATCATCATCATCATCATCATCATTTGCTCCGTGGTACCGTGTGATTTTTTGTACCGCGGGGGTGAGTGGTTTCCTGCACACTTTCTCATAGAATTCTGGGTCCGTAGGATCGATCCACTTGGAAGCCGAAGTACATCGTTTACACCGTCTTCAAATCTCGCGACGACGGCTGCTTCCGCGATTTTGACAAGTACGATCGACAGACCGTGCCCAGGCCACATCCAGTCTGAATTTTTTTGGTTTGACTTATCACATTTGCTAACCACTCAAAAAACCATAAAAAACATGGATATGTACATGGATATATGGTGATAAATGGATCATCCATTTTCCTGGTGGCAGGGACAGTTTTCCAAGGCTATTGGCATGACTTTCCAAAACGACGACGCCGCCATGGCCGATGCGGAGAAACAGGCCGAGGAGCTTTGTGGGCGATGGCTGCAGTGGCTGCAGGCGTGGCTCCCATGGTGGGGGATCCCCCATTATGACTTAAGAAACCCCCATCGATGTAGTTTCATCATGTTTCATCTATTTATTTTAAGGGTTTTTTGGGGTCCAAGAATTGTTCATCCATCTGTTTTTGGTCTTTTTTGGGTCCAATCATTGACCCATATTTTCACATGATGCATAGAATATACTGGCATTATGATGATGATATGAATCTAGACACAAAAGTCATGCCACATTTTTAAGGATCCAACTTGGATCCAGAGCGGAGGCACAGACACACACCATGCCCACGGTGGTGCGGATGGACATCATGGCGAGAAGAATTGGGCCCGGCAAGGCGTGGCTGTTGTGACATAAAATGCACACATGTGAAATAATACACACAAGCTTATAATTTCATATATCTAAACACTTGTGTGAGTTTGACCTGTCTAATGTATATTTTGTATAGCCAAGTGATCACATGCCCCGTTGACATTTGGCTTTAGGGCCCTTGAGTCATACCGCGCTGCCGTGGTAAAAGTTGGGCATTTGACGATCCCGTTTCCAATTCATATTGGTAGCGGAGCGGGTGACGACCCGCATCCGGTGGTACGTCAGTGACCCAGGGAACTCTTTGTGAATTTGAGTCTGGTAACTTTGGGAATCAACTGAACTTCGAGTGTGTCGTGGTTCGGGAATCTGTCTGACCCTGACCAGGGCAGGCACTTGTTAACGCCTGAAAGCAGACGATAAGAATCTTATCGTCTGCAGTTTTTCTTCTTGTTCGACTCCGAACGGAGCGAGCATCATGTCGATCAATGGCCTTCGTTTCAGCCAGGAGCGCCATTCGTCGGCACCACTTGAGACGAAGAGTGGATCATACATCTATGCAGGTGATGCGGCGAACTTTCATGATTGGCAGTTCAGGACTCTCCTTCGGATTCGTCTTTATGAGCAACAATTGGAGGAGGAGACAAGTAAGTCTGCGGATCCCGTTGGGACCACAGCAACAGAGCCTGCCGCAGAAGACGCAGATGAGTATGCTACTTTTCCAGATTTGTCGGGTGCTACTCAAGCAGCCCAGCCTACATCAGCAGTCTCGACTCCGAAGTCTGGAGCGAGCCGAAAATCCTCGAAGTCCGGCAAGCAGAAGACAGACATTGACCGTGGACCATTGGTCAACAAGGTGATTGAAGGACTGAGAGGAGATGCTTTCTCAATAGCTAGGGATCTTGGACTTGAAGTGTTGTCCAAACCTGGTGGCCTTGTGAAACTTGTGGGTGAGATCAAATCCCATGTGTTCCCAAGAGCCCGTGAGGAAGCCAAGGAATTATTTCGAGCAGGACAGAAGCAAGGTGGTCCTTTGTCTCGCCAGCCAGGCGAACCCATGCTTTCCTATGTTCAGAGGAGACGACGTTGGTGGCACATGCTTTGCGAGTTGGATGACACAATGGTGTTTTCGGACAGCTTGAGGACAGAGTTGATGTTGGAGTTGAGTGGGCTCAATCGACAGGAGATCCTCGTTGTGAAGGCCTGTGCAGACACTAAGGATTTTGAAGGTGTTGGCAAGGTGCTGATCGAGAACTACAGTGGCACTCACTTGCGAGAAGGGTCACGATCCTGGACAGGACGTGGTAATCCTCAACAGCATGGCAAGTCGTCAGGCAAGGGTTATGGCAAAGGCAAACCTTCTTCGAAGCGATCGTATTCCCAAGCAGCCTATGCAGCCTACCCCGATAATGGGGAGGAACATGCAGAATCTTGGGATGAAGCTGTGGATCAATCCTGGGAGGATGATTCATATGTTGGCATGCTTGGTGACATTGCAGAAGAGGAGCCAGGAAACCTAGAAGGTGACAACGAATTTGATTACTTTGACGACGTCGATGAGTACGAAGCAGTTGCATTGAACAGTTTGCTTGAAGTTGAAGGTGCAGAAGATGATCGACAGGCAGGAGACGCTATCCAGCTACAACTTGCTGCTTTCACCGCAATGGGGAAAGCAGGTGGCAAGGGAAAATCCTTCGGGAAGCCCAAAGGAAAAGGCAAAGGAAAGATCGTGAAGTCCAACCTCACTATCGATCAGAGGAGACGTAAGCTCACAGAGCTGAAGTCGAAGAGCAAATGTTTGAGGTGCGGAGTCATAGGGCACTGGGCCGGTGACCCGGAATGTAAATTCCCGGGGTCGAAAGCCGGAGCCCCTGGAAAGTCAGCCCCAAAGCCCGCAGCTCACTTTGCCGACATGAGCGATTCTTCAGATGACGATGGTGTGACTTTGACAGCTTCACCTGATCGTGACAGAGATGGAGTTGCTATGATGGCAGTTCGACAAGCGAAGCCCAGCAGTCGACCTTCACGTGCCGCAGCATCCAGCAGCAACGTTGGCTTGATTTCCCGGGATCTCGATGTTACAATGAGACCCGAGGACCATGGGTGCATCTTTCCTGTTGGACAGTTCAAGGGTTTGTCTTTTTGGAATGTGTTGTTTGAACAGACAGGGTACTATCATCATGCCAAGAAACATACCCCCAAGAGTCCATACTATGTCACATGGTTGAATTGGGTTGACAAGTACTTTGTGGTTGGTGCTGACGGGATTCACTTGCGCGAAGTCCCTGTTGAGCATGTCGAGCACCGAGATTTGTTGGTGGCTCGGGGAACTGGCAGAAAGAAACCCCCAAATCCTCCTTTGCCGAACAAGTGTCAGGAATGTCGTGAGTTTACAAAACAAGGTTCTACGGGGTACACCATCAGGAAGACCTGTCTTGTGTGCGGTCATTCCGAAACAACAAGACGTGACATGGTACCGTTGATGACCCCTGAAAATTGCCTTCATGACGACACAGATTTTAGGGGATCCAGCAAATCAACACACCGTACTTTCTGCAAGAAGTGTTGCACTTTCATTGATGAAGCTCCTATGCAGATTCGCAAGGAGCGTGTTGCCATTGCCAAGAAGGTTGAAACCGCATCAGTTCGAACAGTCCCCATTGTTGAATCATTGGTTGAAGAATCGGATGGATTGAATCCAGTCCAGTTGGAAGAGTTGTTGCCCCTGTTTGCCACTCTTGTTACCGAAACCTGTCAATCTGAGGTCATGACCCGTGCACGTCTACATGAACTACTTCACCAAGCCATCAATGACGTAACAGAGGAAGAGGACAGTTTTTCTTTTGTGAATGAAGATGGGCACGGCGACCCCTCGGGCAGGGAGTTAGCTGGGTACGTTGGCATTTGTTTGCATGGAAGTGACACTCAATACCCTCAAGACTTGGTTTACATGAACTATGAAACTGTTGACATTGCCAAGTCACCCCATGTTTTTGCAGTATTGGATGAAGGTTGCAACAGCACTTGTCATAGCAAAGCCTGGGCAGTCGATGCAGAAGCACGACTGGCCCGATTGGGTTACAGTATGCCATTGAAGGATGACGGTTGTAAGAGTTTTGCTGGTCTGGGAAGTGGTAGTACCAAGACCGAAGGTGTGAGATCTATTCCTTTTTCGCTGCTGCTTCCAGACGGGAACATGCATGGGGAGTTGGATTCATATCAATTGTCAACAGGCAACAGCCCATTGCTTCTTTCATTGCATGCGCAAACCAAGTTGGGCCTAGTGAAGGACCTAGCAAAAGGGGTGATTTCCATCAAAGATCAACCATTGAATATCAAGAGATGTTCCAAATCAGGTTTACTTGTGATGAACTTGACTGAAGGATTGACCAACATCAACAACACACCGTCGGATGAACTTCCCCAAATCCCGAAGTGTCACAGAAAGTACAACATCGCATACACGGCATCCACATCGGAAGTTGCCATGGCTGACCATGACATGTGTGGTTTTCATTCGAGGGACTACGACATCTTGCAGACGAAGTTGAATGAAGAACTGCGCAGTGACAGGAAGGTGATCATCATGACTCGTGGACGTAGATTTCAACAACATGCGTGCAGAACCAGCAGGAACACTTTGAGCATCAACTGTGAGGACATTAACGATCCTGATCAGGACGTTAACCTCAGGTCGCATGTGGGTTGGCATCATGGGATCCTTGAGACTATGAGCAAAGTAGACAGGTTCATCCAACATCTCAACAACATCCTCCAGTTCGTCACACAGCAGGAAGCCGACAGTAAGGTGCTGGTGGACTTGGAGTGCAAGTCAGGTCGCCACAGGTCAGTGGGACAAGGATTTGCTGCCTACAGGTGTCTCAAAGTCCTTGGTTATGACGTTGTTCTCATTCATGCATCATCCTGGATGTGGGGAGAGATGCGTTGTGGTGGAGTTTGTCATGGATGTAAGGACATGGCTGCGAGCTTGGGACAAATTCGACATTTGATCCCGAACATGTCAAGGTTGGCACGATCACGAGGCAATGTGGCTTCAAGCCGTGACGTGCGCGATGCTCCAGCCGATGATGTTTCAGGTGGACATTCATCTCATCCTACATCAGATCACCCCACTGCAGGACATCCTACATCAGATCAACTTGATGAGATTCGACGTTTGGTACAAGGGCTTGCAACAGATGTTGGACATCTTAGGACAGAACAGGTTGAGATCAAAAGGATGGCCGAGACCGGAAGGAGATCAAGGAGTCCATTGCGTCGACGGAGATTACCGACGCCACCGTCGCCACCAGCAAGGCGCAGAAGATCACCAAGTTTTCGTCGCAAGTTACCTCCTTGGAGGCATGCACAAGCATCCAGGGGAAGAAGTCCATCGCCGAGACCACTTACATCGAGGCCAGCTCCCAGGAGTCCAGATCATCCTCCACCGCACATTTCGGACGTGCCAGGGACCGATGACGGATCCCGATCTTCAGGGGCCATAGATGGACCTCGAACTTCAACGTTGCCACAACGATCTCGAGAGCCTCCCAATGATCGCGATGAACTTGAACGACTGATCCGAAACAATTTGGCATCAGATGGACCGTTTGGCAACAAGAACGTGTCAGTGAAGACATTGGACGGCGAGCTCCTTAGCGAAGTTGTGTCTTTTTGCATCCGTGAGGGTAACAGGGATCGGCTCTTTTGGATTTGCAAAGATGGAGAAGACCCACTGGTGGAAGGAGTTCGCATGAACGTCCTGATTCGAGATCATATCCGGCCAAATCGGATTGTCAAGGTCTCGAATGGCATCAAGCACTGGAAGCGATCTACATGGTGTCGACCTCGCAATGGAGGCGACTGGGAACTCATTGAAGACAACGTTGACAGCAGGGCAACAGTGCGTTTGAGCAATTCGTGGATCGATGTGATTGTGTTTCACCACCCACCTGGGGTGTTCGATGACTCCGGGAGGGGAGCATACATGAGCGTTCGTGTCAGGTTGACCCCCAACAAGAAAATACGGGATATAAGGGATGATTTTGCGAAGTCTTTGAATCCAAAAGTTGAGATGAAATCCTCAGAACCCAAAAGAATGTATGCAGTGAAGTCGAAGCCCCAGCCAAAGGTCTTGACGCCCAAGTTGGAACAAGATGATTCCGATTCATATGAATATGACTATGAGTATTCTCCCACTGGTTTCATGGCTGTGCGTTTTGATCCCAACGTTGATTTGACAGTCCATCCTGATGAGAGGAGGACCATGAGCAAGAAACACAGGAAGATGGTGTTGGAAGGTATCAACAATCTCAACAACCATGACCGGGTAATGCAGTCCAGTCTTGGGATGCAGCCTCAAGTTTCCAATGGGACATCAGGGGTTGCAATCATCACGTCACATCCGACTCTTTTCCAGGATTTTTTCGAGCACACCTATGACGTCGGCGTGAATGCCGCGTATTTGGGCGGTGATGCTGAGCCACGTGGTTGGAGTGACATGTTCGAGGGTTGCACATTGATCATTGTTGCAATTGAGTACAATTCAGAACATTATCCACTGTGTCATGGGGATCTTGTGTTTGAGTTGGAACAGTATTGTGATGCCACAGGGTGTAGATTTCTCATTGTTGATGTCGCGCACACTGAACGATGGGAATCATTCAAAACACCACAGATTCCATATATCAACGAAGTTGGTCTCGCTTTTGTGTCAAACGATGATGAACTCATTCAGGGTTTTCAAAACTGGTCTATGTATCGACAATTGGATGACGTTTTGAATTGGGAGTTTTGTCAATGGATTCGTGATTGGTCACTTGAGCGTGAATTGGAGGACCAGATGAGCGTTGCCTTCCCAGCAGAGATCATTGAAGAGGCTCAGGAACATGGTGGAAACGGGGATGCAGTGGATGGTCCAGATGATGTTGCATTGCAGGATCCAGTTGAGGACCTGACCCAAGAAGAGACTCTTTTGGATGAAGTTGATATCCCTGGTTTGCCAGAGGATGAATCAGAAAGACGTAGGTCTTGGCGTAAACTTCCCCAGCGTGTCAGGATTGCTGTGCGTAGGTTGCACAGGGCTTTTGGACATGTCCCCAAGTCGGTGATGGTCAATTTGGTGCGTGCTGCAAAGGTGAGTAAGGAGTTTGTTGATGCAGTGAAATTTCATAGATGTGAAACATGTGAGAAAACATCAGCCAAGAAACCCACTCACAAGGTCACGCTTCCCAGTGATTACACATTTAACCATACTTTGGGGATTGATGTACTGGAGTTGACAGATGTAACTGGGCAGAAGTATCAAGTTCTCAACATGGTTTGCATTGGTACTTGTTTTCAAGAGGCTGAAGTCGTGAAGGTTGGAGCAGGCCAAGCTTCTTCGCGATCCTGTTTGGACGCACTTATCAAACGTTGGTTCAGTTGGGCAGGACATCCTGTTGCTATCATGTGTGACCGTGGATTGCACAATCGTGGTGTCTTGCAACAATACATGGATGAACACAACATTCAAGTGCACCATGTGCCCCTTGAGAGCCCGGAATCATTGGGCCGAGTAGAGAGGCATGGTGGTTTGTTGAAAGCTCTTTTCAGACGAGTGTGTGCAGAAGTTGGGGCTTGTACCAAAGAACAGGTTGAGTCGTGCATCACACAGGTGCTTAGTGTGAAGAACGACTCTGCACGTGTTGGAGGTTTTCCTCCATCCCAGTGGGTGCTTGGTCGAGCTCCCCTTGGTGCAGCTTCACTCATGTCAGAGGAAGATCATGCGCAGCTCGGAGCCATTCAGGCCCGACATGATCCTTCATCAATTTTTGCATTACAACACTTGGCCAGAATTGAGGCACAAAAGGCTTTTGTTCACCTTGATTGTTCAAGAAGAGTTCAACGAGCGTTGACACGCAACGCCAGTGTGTTTGATCGTGAGTTCAACATTGGTGATCTCGTCACTTTCAGACGAGGCAATCAACGAGGAGGAACTTCCTGGTCACCAACATGTCGTGTGATCGGACACGAGAACCAGAAGAACATATGGTTACTATGTGGTAACGTTCCGGTACTTGTAGCTTCTCACAACATACGCATTGCTTCTCCTTCTGAAGCTCTTGCTCAATCAGTGTTGAATGGTGAACCTGTGATTCCATACAAGATCATCAATGATACAGGTCAACAAGCGTTTCTTGATGCAAGGCAAGCAGATGAGGTTGAAGTTGTTCGTGAAGGTCCAGGACAAGCAGACGATGTTGAAGTTGTCCATGAGGACAATGTGGATTCAGCACTCCCTCCTATACCAGAGATACCAGAAGATGAATGGGATATACGACCTGGTTTCTTTGAAGAAGGTGAAGAGGAGGAAGACACTGGTCCTATGGAAGAAGACATCTTTTCACAGAGTAGAACTCCAGAAAGAAGAGTTGAAAGACCACGTCCAGGAGATGGAGATCATGAACGCAATGTGAGACCTCGAGTAGAGTCTCAACTACAGCCTGAGTCGGAGAGAGGCTCATCACTCGTGCCATCTCGGAGAGACTCCTTTGTGCCTGATTCTACTCCAAGTGGCTCCGTTTTGGGACCACTATCCTCGCCGTCAGCATCATCTTGGCCATTGCGAAGGGAACTTTTGGATGACTTACCACATCAATTGCGAACACATCTTGAAAGAGCTCGTGAGAGAGACTCAGAACGAAGTCCTGAAGAACAACAAGAAGCACGAGCATTGTTTGCATCATTTTTGTCCCAGGAAGTTGAAGTCCCTGAGGACGAAGAGCAAGGTAAGAAAGTGTTGAAATCAATCCACTATGAATCAGCGTCACCTGATGTACAGAAGAACATCATGGATGCCAGAACCAAGGAGTGGAGCAAGTTCCTTGAGTTCGCTGCTGTTGTTGAAATTTCAAAAGAAGATGCTGAGAGGTTGATTGCTGAAGGACATCAATGTATTCCTAGCAAGTGGGTTGATGTCGACAAGAATCAGTTCATGAAAGGAAGATCAGATCAAGAATATGTGCCAAAGTTCAAGAGCCGGTTGGTATCATGCGGCAATTTCGAAGTCAGTGAAGGTTTGAGATCAGACAGTCCTACAGCAGATACGGAAGCTCACAACATTCTTTGCTGTTGGGCGGCGATCCAGGGCGCACAATTGCACAGTGCGGACGTCGCATCCGCATATTTCCAAGGTCGTCCTCTTGATAGAGTTCTCATTATGAGACAACCCCGAGGAGGTCTCCCGGGAGTTGATCCAGAGGTGTTTTTCCTTGTGCGGGTGCCTATATATGGATTGACTGACAGCGGTCGAGGTTTTTGGTTGAGGTTGGACGGAGATGCCCGATCCAGTGGCTTGAAACAATCCAAGTTTTACCCAGGATTGTATTTCCTTCCAGGTACCGACAAAGATTGCGTTGCACTTATGGCGACACATGTGGATGACATCTTGTACGCATACATTCCTGAGGGAAAGTCAGTGATCGACAGCTTCTTGGAGAAGTTCAACTTGGGATCAAGTGAATCAAATTCGTTTCGCTATTGTGGCAAGCAATTTGAGCGTACTGCAGATGGAACAATCACACAAGACACTTGTGACAACACCCGTCGCATCAAGCCGATCAAGATCGCGCCAGGAAGATCAGCGTCCGAGCCGTTGGGTAAGGATGATGTGACCCGATTACGATCTGTAACGGGATCATTGGCATGGGTGGCAAGGCAGACTAGACCCGATTTGGGTTATCGTGTGAGCCGCCTACAGTCCAGTATTTCTGGAGCGACAGTTGCTATTTTGCACGACGCAAATGCCGTAGTACAGCTGGCACAACAAGGCATTGAGAACAAGCTCATTTTTCCAGGTGGACATCTAACCTGGGGAGAGGTTGGTATCATTACAGTAACAGATGCTTCATTTTCAAACGAGAAGAACTACAAATCACAACAAGGACGTTTCCATTTTCTTGGAGACATCAATGAGATCAAAGACCCCAAGACTACATCCTACAGGGTGATGCCATTGGGATTTGCATCAAATACAATTCGGCGAGTATGCCGCAGCACTCTTCAATGCGAAGCTTATTCACTGCAGGCTGGACAAGAGAGCGGTGACAAGCTACGTGGAGCATTGGCCGAACTGATGGGCCAACTTGACTCGATGAAAACATGGTTGGATGACAGCCGCAGCTGTATTCCACAACTGATGCTTTCAGACTGCAGGTCTTTAACAGACCATCTTGCGAATGAGGTACTCGGCAGGGTCGCAGACAAACGACTCGGCATTGAGTTGCAGTCGATTCATGAGTCACTTTGGCAAGACGGCCGGAGGACCTGGGATATGCATCATGGCGGAGGAGACATTGTTACCTGGATTGCTACAGGAACTATGGTCTCGGATGCTCTGACCAAGAGCATGCGCCCGGACCTCATTATCCGCGTCTTGAAGGAGTGCATTTATCGTGTACAGAAGAAGCCTTAGAGCCAACTTTTTCACTAGCATCATGTGATCCTTGAAGAACAGGTTGAGTGTGAGTTTGACCTGTCTAATGTATATTTTGTATAGCCAAGTGATCACATGCCCCGTTGACATTTGGCTTTAGGGCCCTTGAGTCATACCGCGCTGCCGTGGTAAAAGTTGGGCATTTGACGATCCCGTTTCCAATTCATACTTGTTTATACTACATATATATATATATATTATGATATATATATATATATGTAATATATACATACACATAGAACGTATGTATATAGGTATATATAAACACACAGTCACACACAGACATATATACATACATGCATGCATAATTGACGTGGAAGCCAGGCTGCCGTCGCCACGGGCGAACTCACCGAGTTGGGTGGCTGTTGCTTGCCTCAAATGGGAGCTGCGCCTCAGTTGGGGTGTCGTTTCTTTTCCAAGAAAAAAACAAATAAAGCACCCGATTCCTGTTTTTTTTTCTGATAAACTGTGCTGTTCTTGTGGATGATACCCTCAATTTTTCTGGATTACATCTGCAGTTTTGAACCCCAATGAGGTGATGTTGGGGTTGTTTGATGACAAAATCCATAGGCCGTGACGAGAAGTCTGGATGATGGTTAAGGTGAGAACCCCCCCAAGATAGATGGTTGTTAAGCCCCGATTGGTGGTTTTTGGTGGTTGATAAATCCTTTAAAAACCACAACATTATTGGGGTATCCCAGTATATTCCCATTATATTATATACCCTTTGTATTCCGTCATGTTCCCATTGTATTCATGTTCCCATGGTATTCACATCATACTCCACCAATTCACATCAGTAACGCAACTTTTTTTTTGGCTGATTCTCCCTTAAGGATTCTTAATCGACCCTTACGCAAGCCTGAATAAACCCTATCAACGAAGCATTATGAAAACCGAGGCTTTCTGGGTTGGCCCCAAGGGCCATCGACCGTCTTCAGCGCAATGGTGCGATCATGCCCCTTGGATATCCTTGGATCCGGCGCAAATGGTGCAACGTTTGGGGTAGAAAAAGGGTGTTTAATTGGGATTCGGTGGGTGTTTAATGGATCTTCACTGGTGTTTAATGGGGTAGACAAAAAAAGACTAAGAGAACTTGGGATACAATCGGAATAATTATCACGGGTGACATGCCAAGAATGGATGGTACTAATGGATGATGAATAATATGATAGTTTATTCTAAGTGCCTGTCTAACATAGTACTGGGAATATGAGGATACCATCCGGCAATCATTGCTGCTGTGGCGCATTTCTCCATCATAAATGGAGGTTTTAATGGAAAACACATGGGCCAAACATGGGGGATCTTCAATTGCCACAGTTGATTACCGGAGGGGCACTAGATTTCGATCCATCCCCATGCACCATGCAGCATCATGCGCCACGCCGCTTGATCGCCTGATAGAATGTGCCTGGGCCAATCTGCCTACAGAAAATACTGGATATGGTGGTCTGCTTGGGCAGAGAAACTTATGGTTTTGCCAGATTTGCCAGGAGACAATATGGACAGCTTCAATGATTGTGAAGTAATGCAGTGTCTTGAAAGGCCACCTGGGCCACCTTCCACCAAAATTTCCACGTGCCGACGATGCCGAAGATCTCCAGTCAGCTTTGCGGCAACCCAAATACCTCACAGTCAAGTAGTTTATCTTTAGCTCAGTCCTTGGGTGGCTCACAAACGTGCAAACTTCTAGGTGTGGGCTTTGATTTTGTGGTTCATTCTGCCCTCTGCAGACAACAGAAAAATGTCCCGGTGCAGAATCATCCACCACGTCATGCTTGTTTTCGCAGCACTGTATCACACCGCTTTCATGTGTGGTTGCTGAAAAACAAAACAGTAAGCAATGCACGGTTCCAATTGGTTGTGCCATGCACGCTATTTCGCCATTTATTTACGAGGAAGATCAATGAAGATTCATAAAGCAATTGCACATTCTTTTTGCCATCTTGAACTCAATTCTTGCGCAGCAAATTACCAGTGCATTTCATTGCATCTCCACCAGCCTTGTGGCACCAGTACGCGGGGATGAAAAAGTAGCAGGGGCTAGGTCCCGTTCATGTATGTTGATACCATACGTTGGCCTCCCATGAAATGGTCAACATCCATCAAATGTATCATCAACGACTGCTTGCATCTGTAGATATCAAGATTTGCAACACATTTCACCCACGCACACACACACACACATCTCTGTTGCACGCCCCATCAGCCATATATATATATATTTTGTCAATGGCCCATGACCAATGGATCAGGCTTCAAGAACACGGCGAACTTGGCACCCTACTGACTGTTGAGGGGCCCCTTTGGGGCCGTGTGACCGGCAGGCGGCGTCGATGGGATTGGCTACAAGAAGAGTTCTAAACCTGCCTTTAATCAGGGTCGATGGTTGAGAACCTTTCATTTTGTTCTGAAAAGGGGCTAACCTTTAGGAGGATCATTCATTATTTTACTGAATTCCTATCAGCGACTCAGATTCCAATCCCAGGTGCCCACGGCATCGAAAAAAAGTAGTCGTTCCCAGGCTCGCTGGAATTTTAGGTGAGCCCTGCACAGGTCTCTGAGCCGAAAGGATTAGCTCGACGAAGCGGCAAGTGATGACCATTCTAATGCAGATTTCCTGGCAAGTGATCACGCCACTTTAATCATACAGATGGGGAAAGTTACACCATACAGACCATACAGTATAGGATTTTGGGATACCCTATTTGGGAGACTTTCAAGTCACGAGATTCAGAAGAAACGCAGCGCTCGGAGGATGAGAATTATCTAACTTGAACAGCGCAAGCTGACGTGGAAGACCACGGCAGACAAAGTGTCCCAGCTGTCCCAGAAGGGACAGCTATCCTCCCGAGCCGCGCCAAAACTGTTGCAGCTGAAGACATCGTGGGGTGGCAGGTGATCCATTGAGTGCACATGATCCATTGATCTTCTGGTACATTCTTGCAGTATTTTGCGATATTGCGATCTGTATCATTCCCCATTGTCGATCTGGGATTGTCTCAAACTTGAGAAACCCACTCCTGTACCACGATTTATCATCATTTTTCACCAAAAACACCTCCATCCTATACAGAATATATATATATATATCACATATCAGAATATGGGATATCCCATGATATCCCCATGATAACGAGACAGGCCATCTGTAGCCAGGTTGATGGAGGGCTTGAACATTGATAAAAACGCAAGAGATAAGCTGACCGAAGTGCCAGAAGAGTCCCAGGCATCGCATCCCTGGGAGATGGGGCATGGGTTCATCAATGCCTATGAGATTGAAATTGCTGGATTAACAAAATCGCAAAAATACACTAATTCGAGATGGTAAATATGTATACATATATATATACACTATATATATATACACACTGCACTATAATATAATTATATATAATTATATATATGTATATCTATATACACGATATTATATGTATATATATATATATATATGTATATATATATATATATATGTATATATATGTATATATATATATCACACATGGTCTCACAAGCACAGGGCAGCTGCAACGCAGGCCCGTGTGTCCAACAGATTACACCTTATCATGGTGATCAGGATTCGACACAGTAAAGCACAACTCAAAGAGGGCAGTCGTCAGAGGTTGCCGGCTGCCGACTTCCTTGCATCTGGAAAACATTAGCAAGGCCACCGTAGGCCACAAACAAACTGAAACAAGCCACGGGGAGGTTGTTTCCGCTGGGCAACTTACAAGGAACATATTCTTCTTGTGGAAAACGGCTGCCAGTTGCCGCCTCAAGACTCTGGTGTTTCAGGCCCTTAGCTCACCAAAACGGTACATTTGTCCTCTATTGCTATCCCATTGGCACCTGATGATGCTGGTGCGAAATCAGCCCGGTTTGCTTCCTGACTCCGACGCCAATCAAAGTTACCCAATCTGCTTCGGGCAAACGCAAGTGCAATGACATTCATGCAAGGGAAAATTGCACGTGCCCCTCCACGCAGCACCATCACAGTCAGGGACGAAACCACGCAGCGCCATCATAGTCAGGGACGAAACAGAAGCATGCGTTGTCATAGCCTTGTCGTCCAAATTGGTCAGTTGGTCATCCAAGCATGTGTGACTGATGTAAGCCACATGATCGAAATGGCTAGCAAGCAGTGCGATGATAAGGACCGCTGAATGCAATTGGCGTCCGCGCCGTCATCAGCAAGCGTCTGCCAAAGTAGAGCTCCGTCAGCTGTCACGGCAGTTATCTTAACCAAGAAAGGTTATACATCCACAAACAACTTGTTGCTGAGCCAATTCGGACTGAAGTAAGGCACGGTCCAATGAGACAAAACGACATGGCGAAATCAATTCCCAAGCATCTCCTTTCACGGTGTACCACTGGTAGGACTTGGGCCGACACTAAACAACATTAATTATACAATATATATATATATAAATATACGTATCCAAATTTATAATTTTTGCTCACGTAGTAGTGCAAGATGTAGAATAATGAAAACTCCTTCTATTTCCATCACTTTCACTGACCGCAGCTCCACCACTGTCAGGTTGAGTTGCTTGAGGAGTTGAAAAGGCCTCCCGTCTGTCATCTGGTGTGCCTCTGGGTGAAACTTTTAGGCCCTGAGAGTCGAAAAAAATGGTGGGCCTTAAATAGTTTAGCATCCAATTATCACCAATCATCCAGATATTTTGAGGTCCATTTCAGGGCTGGAATGAATTCAATTTCGATCCAGGCAGCAGTTTTTAGAACTGCGTTGATTTGGCAGTGAGGATAATGTATTTTTCTGTCGCCGATTTTTTGGGGAACTCGCTCCTTCCAGGGACGCTGGTAAAGTTCGGAACCATTCTGCCTTCATCTGCAGCAACGTCAAGCGAATCAAGAACGGTCGGGGTCCGAGTTCCTGGTGTTTCAATGGATAAGTATGGGTAGTAGGCGATCCCGGGAGTTGCATTTCTTGTGAAGTCTTGTTGGAAAGACCGAAGATTGCCGTTGGTCCGTGATCCGCGATGGAAGGACCAGAAACCATTCGGATGGCTGTACAGAAGATTGTCCAAATATGGTGATGGGTCAAACAGGAGTCTTGAACCCTAGCAAGTATAGGTATATGATAGCCACAAGGGGGTAAAGGCAAAGTTGTAATTTTACATAGTTTTATATTTTACCTCTTTGCTTGCCCGGGGTTATATACCCCTTAAATTTGGGGTTTTGCAACGACCAACTTTCCACGTCCCAATCGTGGCAGGGACTTACCGTTCCCGTAATCAACCGCCTGACGAGCGTGGTGGTGCGAATCCCAGTCGTGCAGATGTGGGGTATGGGGCGATCCCGGTTTGTTTGACATGTGGAATTGTGATGAATTGTGGGTATAATATTTGAATATGTCGATCATGATCTCTGTGTATATTTGATTATATTTGGCTGCCGATCCATACCCTCAACCCACAGGCGATCCATCGATCCATACCCATGAACCATACATCACTAAGGGATATGATTGATACCCTTGATCCATTCCTGTCTTGAAAATGACAAGTTGTACTTATACCAGGCCACTCTAGTATTCCTTCTCAATAGGTCCCGATGAAACCTCTTATACGCAACTCACTCGTTCCATGCGTCCGGATCACCACGGAACGATCCATACCTGCTTTTTGAACCATACCCATTTGATTATAGAGTCCAGTTGGGTTATGGTCCTGTTTTTGTTTTGCAGATCATGTTTGTTGTCTCAACATCACAGATACGTTCTGGAAGAACCTGCCGATCAAAGCATACTTGGGGGTTCAGTTCCAGTTATAAGTGGACGTAAAACCACAGCTATAAATTGTAGGCCCTATAGAGGTTATGTCCCAACGTCTGGAGACTGGAGGTTATCACCGTTCTTACCTCTAACTGCACTAGCAGGGTCCAGCCAGTCGTGTCACGTTTCGCAACGAGGTGATGATTATGGTGAGCAGAGCTACAGCTACAGCACCTACTCTTTCTCCAGGCATCGCGAAGACCGCGACAATGGCTATGACAATGGCTATGACAATGGCTATAGCAATGGCTATGACAATGGCTATGGCAATGACTATGGCACTGGCTATGGCACAAAGGAGGCTGGGCTGCAGCTAGAACAGGGGAAGGCTCCACATTTCACCTGTGATTTTGCTCAATTGCCGTGAATGTGGAGAATTGGGCAATGTTCAAGAAGATTTCAAGACCCCCGTTGGTTGAGAATCATTGGGGGATTAAATTGCCATAGTCTGCTATTTATATTCATTTATCAAGTGTAAAATATTGTAAAATATATTTATATCATTTTATATCCATAGTCTGCCATCTATTTATATCCATTTGTTATATGTGAAATCATCCATGAAGTGGGACTCCGTTCTTCGCTCGACGAGCCCTGGAACAGAAAACCAGGAGGACGACCGACAGTGGCCGCCCTCCACGGAGGAGCTACGAAGCTCTTTGGATCACAAGGCCCGGTAAAGCCGGTAGCACCAGTGCCATACGACATTGGATTTACCCTCTGGTAAACAGCCACATAGCTATGGAAAATCACAATTTTTAATGGGAAAATCAACTATTTCTATGGCCATTTTCAATAGGCTACCTTTGTCCATAGGGCTTCTTTGTTTGGTCTCTCCGTGGTTTTTATCTTTGGCGTTTCTTTCTAAGTGGCTTCTATCTCTGGCTTCTATATGGCCTTTGGGTTTGCCTGCGCACTGGCTTCTATGTCTGGCGTCAATATAGCTTCTATGTTTGATTTCTAAGTGACTTCTATCTTTGGCTTCTATATGGCAATACCTTTTATGTGCGTCGTTAATTCGGCTTCTATGTTTGCCTGCTCAGTGGCTTCCATGTCTGGCGTCCATGTGGCTTCTAAGTTTGGCTTCCAAGTGGCTTCTAAGTTTGGCTTCCAAGTCTGTGGCTTCCATGTCGCCTTTATGCTCGCGTGCTACATGACGTCCATGTTGGGTGTCAATATTGTTTCTATGTTTGGCTTCTAGGTGGCTTCTATTTCTGGCGGCTTTTATGTCTGCCGGCTGAAAGACCTCCATGTCTGGCGTCAATATGGCTTCCATGTTTGGCTTCTAAGTGGCTTCTATGTCTGCCATCTATGTGCCTTTATGTCTAAATGGCTTCTCTTTATGGTTTCCAAGCGGCGTCTATGTCTGGCGTCTAAGTGGCTTCCACGTCTGGCGTCTAAGTGGTTTCCATGTTGCGTTTGTCAGCGTCTGCTATGTGTGGCTTTTGAATGCATCTCAGTGTTTGTGTAGTTTGCCTTGTGTGTGGCCTCTTCGGCGGGCATTTAATTGTGTAATTGCTGCGTATGCATCGCGGCCACGCAGCGGCTTAGTGGTTTCATGTGGTTTCAATGTGTGTTTGGTTTCAACGTGTGGTTTCCGATGGCTCTCTTATGTTTTTTTTTGATTTGATGTGGCTTCTAATTCTTATGTCGGAGGATCCATCTCTTAACCCCAGCACGCAACACCAAGAAGCACAACTCACCCTTACAACCTTCCACCCTCAAACCCTGGCCACGTCTCCCACCCTAAATCCTCAACCCGTCAGCCGCCCCACACCTAAACCCCTAACCCCCCCACCCCCCTCCACCCCAAACTCTAAAGACTCTAAAGGTCGCAGCGCGCACATATCTTTCTTCACCATGCAGACGGCTGGGACCGCACACAACAACAGAGGTACGCGTCAAACACGAATATGACCAACACCAACACCAACACCAATAGCAGCAACAACAGCAACAGCAACAACAACAACAGCAACAGCAACAGCAACAGCAAGAACAACAACAACAACAACAACAACAACAAAAACAAAAACCAAAAACAAAAAACAACAACAACAACAACAACAACGACAACGACAACGACAACGACAACGACAACGACAACGACAACGACAACGACAACGACAACGACAACGACAACGACAACGACAACCACAACAACAACAACAACAACAACAACAACAACAACAACAACAACGAACATGTACGTGTGTTTGATTGATGCTGAGCTGCTATAAGCAAAAAGGAAGAACTCCGGGCGCAGGCGATAAACTGATTGAGGCGTAAGTGATGTACGGAGGCGTAAGTGATGTACGGAGGCGTAAGTGATGTGGATGCGTGGAGGCGTAAGTGATGTCTTAGCCCAAAGGGACAGTACCATACAGTAATTACCGGAGTGATGCTGAGTTTCAGGGGACGGTGGGACTTCATATCGACTTGCTGTTGTGCTAATCTGGCCCTGAAAATGATGGGAACATGGAAAACCACTAAATATTACGGTAGGTCATCATGAAAACCTCATTGGCATTGTCATTTTGGGCCAAGCAACACCACCATAACAGCGAGTCGCATATCACCTGTCAAACATGTAGGCCCTGTTCGTTTCACGCTGGTTCAAGCGAACATGTTTAAAACCGTAGGAAAACATCTGAGGCTATTGGAAGAACAAACCAGCAATAAACTTAGGACACCAGAACAGTTCACCAAAACAACATGATCCTCACACTTAACTTTGGATGATGTTCTTTCGACTCCTTGAAAACTGAGCAGTGTCATCTTCATGGCTGTCCTTGTGCCATGTCTGACACCGTCGATGAGGAGAATTTGCAGGACCGAAGACTTGAATGTTTTCGAAGTTGTCCGAGGTGAGATTCGCAAGGGACCGGTCAAAAATGAAGGAAAGCAGCACTAGTGCAGATTCGCATCCAAACAGTCCATCAAACATGGCTAGTTTTTGAGTGTCAAAGGACCAAGCCGGCCACAACCATCATTGATCAATGGCATATCTTGGGGTGCCAAAGTTCGACCCATCAAATATCAGACATTGTTGGTCTTAATCATATAAAATCATATATATAAATATTTATTATTATATATGTATATAATATATATATATATATATTCCGTTATATCCCCAATACGGAATTATAAGTCATCAGTGAACACCTCCATGTGTTGGTTCATAAATCCATGTAGCTACCAATTGCTGGTTTAATATGGTTTAATACACAACAAATCCAATATATTACATATTATTATTATATATATAATATATATACAGATACTATAATTACATATTATTCATAAATCCCAACAGCTCCATGACTCCATATAGCTCCATAACTCCATTGTTCCCCGTGTCCAAGGCCAAAGAGGAGCTAACGCAGAAGGTGATTGAGCTCACTAAGGTTGGTCCGGGTTCAGCAGATCGCAGCTGTGCCAGCAGCCAATATGTGCCATGGTCATCCCCCCAACAAGAATAGGGGGTTTAAAAAAGCCATGAATTAGGGAATCCCATCATGATCGAATGATATATCAGCAAGAAATCATCCAACATTGGGGAACATTGGCAAACAACTGCGCCTCCCCCAAAAGGACGGAGAAATGTGGTCGGAATGTTTACGGTCTATGAAGTCATCAAATCATGCACTCCATTGAAACAACAAAAAAACCATGGTTCCCAGTTTATGGTTCCCTTGAACCAACCCAATTCCCACCGTCCTCTGCAAGTTTGTTTTTGTTTTTTTTTGGGAGGCATTGGTCTTCCTGTACACCCGGCAAGATGGGCATGATGTCCGTCTTGCGGCGTTGAAAGATGCCAAGGCCAAGGAGGCTGGTGGTGCCTGTGGCGCTGTGGCGTTTTTTTTTGATGTTTTTTTTGATGGGGGACCCCAACATCAACATGGCCATGTTCAATGGGGAATTGAATGGTTTTGGATGGTCTTGGATGGTTTTGGGGTCCCCAACTTTTTGAAAGACCCTCATTGTGAGAGCTCAAAAATGGATAAGTTTGATGCACGGAGCATGGTCTCAATGTTGGTTTGCATTTTGTGGCAGCTTGAACGTATACTTCTTGTTCGTTTTTTTTGCCGCTTGATAGCCCCAAAGAATCCAAAAGAGGGGTTACGAGGGGTTGGGGAGTACTTGTAGCAACACGTTTTGCTTTTTCCACATCCTTCTGCCAAGTCTGAAGAAGTCAAGTTTCCTTTTCTGTTTCCATTGCAGGTTGCAGAAGTCACTTCCTGGGTGTCAGAGAAAGTGCAAGCTCATCATCAGGAGGTATCTGAGGTCAGCAATCGGCTGGGAGCCACAGTTTAGAAATCTCAAGAGGTTGGAATGGCTGCTGCTATCCAATGCTAATCCTCCAGGGCTCAACACGCACATGCACCATTGGCTCAATAGGCTTGTGCAACCATTTGTGGCCAACAGAAAAAGCGTCCAAAATCTACTAAGATAGCCATTGGGCACCCATCTTCGAGCCACTTTAGACGGTCGCCACAGAGTTCTGAGGCTTAGTGGTCGAGTGGAGGACCTGGAACGAAAGTACGCCTCACGCGTACGCGAGGCAAAGAGTTCCCTGGAAGATCTCAAGGAACCTCTTGGAGTCGATGGTTTGATGGGGAGGTGACTGGGTGGGACATAATTCCTATGATACTCGTACATATGGTTATTGAATTGTTTTCTTCAGCACTCTTTTCTTGTTGGTGGTGATGTTTCTTGGGCTAGCTGGCCGTGGGATTCCCGATACAAATGGTTACCAGTTGGTAGCTAGAACTAGTTTCATTTCGGATTGCATCATGATTAACCAGTTTCGTGATGCTGCAAATGTGAAGATAATTGATGGGCCGTGGTAGAAGAAGGGCTTTCAATTTGAGCTGGACCAACACTCAAAACTTGGCATCCAAAATGGTCTTTGACAAGACTGGACAAAGAGTAGAACATGAGGGCTGTTGCATTCTGGCAAGTCTAGCTTTGCCGATCGATAAACATCTCTTCCCAAGAAGAGGGGAAATCTTGTAAATTCTTTTTGAAGAGGGCCTTCGTATTTAGGTCATCATAGGTTCATAGAAAGTGATCCATGACAAGCAAGACAAGTCGGTGTGCAGCAATCATTCACTGTACAGTAATCTCTTTGAAACAGAATAAATACATGAACCTAACAGATGATGAAGCTAACCGATGAACCTGACAGGAGGTGATGCGGAGAAAGGAGAAGGCACCTGGGCTTTGCGATGCGTGTGTTGTGAGATGATGTGAGATGATGTTGAAGTTGAGTTAGTTTGCTGAGGGTGCTGTTGATGGTGAACTAGTCTTCCGATTGCAGTTTCTGTTGAATTGATGAAGTGGCAGCCATGACCATTTCCAGGGCCTGTCATCCAACTTAACCTTGAAAACCAGCACTTCTAATTCTATACTTCTATCCAATTCTCAGAAGTCTTTCCGATTCCCATCCACTTCAATTTTCCAGACATTTTCCAGACATTTTCCCAATCCCAGCCCCCAAACCCTGCCCCCCAGAGGCCTCCGAAGGCCTGGTATCCTCCTGGAGTCATCACTCGGGCCGCCGTCATCATGCCCTGCAGCTGCGGAAGGATGCGGAGGATCTCCGCAGGAAGCTGCAAATCGCCGAGGAGTGTCCTGATGTGGGTGAAAATCCCCACAATCCCCATTGAAATAGCCCTTGAAAAATGAGAAGGTGATGTTCAATCGATCGATTTTGAGGTTTACTGTTGTTATTTATTTTGAGATCTCTGGAGGTTTGCTAGAATTTGGGGTACGCCAAATCATCCATTGAATTACGTATATAGACCATTTCAGTATTGAAAGGACCATGGTGACTTGGAGATACCCCAGTTTAAGATGCCCCCATCTGGCAGCCATGCTTAGGACCAGGATTTTTGGGGGATCTGGTGATGACGGGGCGAGAGTTTGACATATCTGGCAAAATCTAGAAATATCTTATGTGGAAATATGATGAAATAGGTTTTGGTACCCAAAAATGGAGCATCCCCGGAAATTGCAATTCTAGTGGGGAAAATGATGGTGAACCGGTGGATTGAGGGGTACCCTCACAAACCCAAATATGACAGTAGAAAAATCACGAAAAAAGAAGCGGGTCAAAACAAAGAACAATCTTGTAAAGTTACCATTCTGATGCTTCCTGTCGCATGTGACCAGACGTTTTGCATCGTTTTTTTAATGTGTTTTTTTTCAGTGGTCGTACCTGTGAGTTTACTGCCCTGATTGGAGTTGTTCAGGCGCGTGCCGGTTGTGATGAGCAGTGGCTAGTGCGGCAAATTGCCGCAGAGACGCAGCGAGGAAGACAGGAACTGGAGAGAAGGTCCCAGCTGCCACATGGGCCACATCCAGTGGGATTGATGACAGTGGGATCTGCCAGTGGTCTTTGTATTTCCCAAATTTTGGTGTGGCACAACATCACCTCTTGGATGGTAACATACTGGTAAACTCAGGGTTAACCTCCCAGGGGTGATGTTTGTGGAGGTTTTCTTGAGCCCTGGCCCTGAGAGGTTCGAAGAAAGGAGCAAAGAGCTGAAATCGGAACAGCTACAGGTTTTAGAGCTGCCCGGCACGATGGGTTGAGATCCCCAACTGATGGGATAGCTTGTGAATATTTGTGAATATTAAAAGAGCATGGGAATCTTGCAACTCTAGGGCTGTAGCCCACCTGTCTCATCCCAACTCCATGTTTTCTTCAAGAATTGCTTCATTCACATCAACACCATCTCAATGGGCTTTCAACTTTTGACCATGTTTCCCCATCATTTTCCCATATTTTCCCATCATTTTCCCATATTTTTCCCATATCTTCCCATAGTCTCCCATGATTTTCCCATATCTTCCTATGACGTTCCCCCATTTTTTCCAGCTTCGCCACGCGCCCAGGCAGCTGCGAGGCCAAAGGGAGCATCGCATCAACGAGCTGCGAGAAGAACTGGACCAGGAGCGACAGGAAGCCAGCGCCCAGGTGGAGGGTTTCTGCTGACTTGGACCATTTGGATATGTTTTGGTCGCAGAGAAAGTTATATATCTAGAACTTAGATGAAATTAGAATATCAATCAAGGATATATATGGATTTTCAATGATATTCAGATATTCTATATTTATATATATATAAGTGATATCAGCAATGATGATATATGGATACAAACATGGATATATACTTCAGATATCAATCCATGTGTTTTTTTGTTCCAATGATTCGAATGGGGAGACCACGGATGGGCAGCAATTTACTGAACTGTTGATGGATTGTCCGGAGCCCAAAAAATGGATGTGTTTTGTGTTTGATGGTTTTTGCATGTTTTTTTTGCTGATACAAAAATGAGGAGATGGAACCACTATCATATCTATCATGGGGTCAATCGGTCCTGTGGTGGGCTCGAACTATCAACATATTGTTACATAATGTTACTATTAGTCTGGCCCTCTGGTAAATTAACATAGCTATGGAAAATCACAATCTTTACTGTAATAGGTAAATCAACTTTACATGGGCCATTTTCAATAGCAATGTTAAATTACCAGAGGGTAATTGCATATCATGTTGGTAATATGTTGGTAGACAAGCAAAAACTGAATCACGAATGAGCCCAAAGTCCCACTTCCAGGAATCGAGGTGGTAAGTGGCCATGTGTATCAGTCACTGGCCGTCACTGCAGCAAATGGATGATTTCCGACCCGACCTAAGGAGACACAACTCAAAAACTCAACAACAATGAACCATATACAAATCATGATCAAAAACTGACATAGCGTTTGATATTTGTAAGCAGGTTTTGGGTCTCCCAGAATCAACACCTTTGCAAAGGATACGCATTATATTTGACTCTGTATAAGTACAAATACCGTATAGACACATACATGAACTGAGCATATGCTACAATATATCTGTATATACATAGATATTGTAACTACAACTATATACAACCATATACAAGTATAAAACTAAATATAACTATATTTAACTATTTATAACTGTATATAACTATATATAACTATATAAACCTATATATAAGTATATAAAACTATATATAACTATATCTAACTATATCTAACTATATATATATAACTGTATATAACTATATATAAATGTATTTAACTATATATATATAACTATATATAACTATTTATAACTATATATAACTACATATAACTATGTATAACTATATATATATATAACTAAATATAACTATATATAACTATAAATAACTATACGTATTTAACTATATATACAACTATATATATATATATAACTATATATATATAACTAGAACAATATATATATATAGCTATATCTAACTATATATATAACTATATATATAACTATTTATGAAACTATATATATATATATATAAAAATAACTATACATAACTAAATAACTATATATAACTATATAACCATAAAACTATGTATATATATAACTATATATATAACTATGTATAACTATATACATATCTATATATAACTGTATAAAACTATAAATAACTATATATAACTATATGAAACTATATACAACTATATATAACTATATATATAACTATATATATATAACTATATATAACTATATATATATAATTCTATATAATTATATATAACTATAAAACTATTTGCATATCTATATAACTATAAGAACTATATACAAACCTATATTTAACTATATATAACTATATATATATAACTATATATATATAACTATATATGACTATATAAATATATATATAATTATATAATTACATATAACTATATATTGTAATTACATATAACTATATAATTAGTAATTATATAATTATCATTGATTAAATAGTATACTATATACAGTGTGACACATGCCAGGCAGAGGAGGCTCTGCAGGAGGCTGTAAGAAGACAGGAGTTGAGCTTTCAGGCCGTCTTTCTGCTGACTGATGTTCATAGCCAGTGAATCACTGGATTTCACTGGATTGATTTCAGAAAACAATTATTTTTGGATGTTTTTTTCTTTTAAATCGAAAGATGGGTTTTCTTGATTTTTCTTGTGAAAAATAAGTCAGTTCTAGGGTTTCCGCCCCAGGTGGAGCGTGAAAATCTCGAAGTGGTACAGGAGCGTCAGAGTGCGTCCCTGAATGAGGCCATGGCATGGCTCAGATGGGCATAGGTGGTTCATTTGTTTCGCCTTCGGTTCGTCGTTTAGATGTGCCTTTCAGATTTCAGATCCTTGCAGATTAACCTCAAGTTCCCAAAGCAGCAAAGCAATGGCAACCTTCGCACGGGAGGCACGCGAGGAAGTCTTGGTAGCAAAGGCTCAGTGTGAGGAGAGGCAAAGAGTGCTAGATGAGATGTCGCGCGAGCTTCAAGAGAGTGGCTGGGATGGCACCCCGATTCTGGATCGTCTGGATGATCCGATTCGCCACGACTGCGACTGATCGCCTATGTCTTGATCAGATTTCCAAAGTGCAGCCCTAGACAACCTCCAACAAGTCTAAAAGAGATATGATATTTACATGTATTTACCTTCATTTACCAGTATTTTCAACACATGTTCCGAATATTTTTCTTTACAGTTTAACCATTTTCTTCGGACATTTAGGACCAGAATAGGATTTTTACCCCAAAAAACTGGCATTCGCCAAGGGAAGCGCCATGGGCAGATGATGTCCAAAGAGGCAGACCTGGCCCATAGCCGCAAACTGCGGCAAGAGAGCGAAGGGCAACAGTTACGAAGGAAGAAGGCCGCATTTTTTTGGGGTGGCCATGGTCATTGTCCCATGGTCAAAATGGGGGGAGAACTAGCATCTGATATATCTGATATATCTGCGTTATATAGTATCAATGATGATGGGATATATATATATATGTATTGATTGTGACGGGATTCCAGAGATTTGGTGGCCATCAGATGGTTTGATGGGATATTTGATGGGATATCTAATGGTATTCTATAGATAGGAGGAAAAGGAGAAAAAGTGTCAACATGTTGGACACAACATGACCATGACCCAACAATCCACACATTTTGGTTATTAGTCTTAACATGTCTTAACTAATTATCTATTTTTTTGAAAACCAGATTTGACTTCCACAGAAACGGTACTAGTACCACACAGAATCAAACGTCAGCGGGTCCGATCACAGATTGATGCATCGCTGACGTGGCTATGGCTCCAAATGATGGACCACTGCACCCAAAAATGCATGGTTCAGTAAAAATTGCAAATATTTTGTGGCCCCATTGGTAATTTCCACATTGAGCCATGCCCAACCATGCCCACGCCTTATTTTCTTCAAAACCAGGTGGTTTACAGAATGATTTTTTGATCATTTTTCCAATTTTCCTATTCAAGTGGCTACAAATTGGGGTATTTCCAAATTTTCGACAAATCCAGATATCAGATTGTTGGCTATACTATACTGGTATACATCAACAAATCTATATAACACCTGTAAACTGGTGTCTAATCCCACCACAAAATAACGTAAAATCCCTTTCTCAGATATTATCAATAGTCATACCCCTGGTTTATATCCCTTTATGGCTGACTAACATGGCATAATCATTCTTAATCACCCTCCGCTACTACCCATTTTAAAATGGGGTAGCAATGCCTATAGCCTATTGGTGTAGCATTATCTCCCCATGGATACCCATTGCGTCAACGTCAGATGGCCCTGGAGCGCAGCTTGGGCGTGAAAGCTGCGGCCGCCTATGCTGAGCACGAAGATGGCGCCACAGAGCTGGGATCGCCCAGAATCTATCTACGCTACCATTCCCTTTGGTATCCTGTCCTGTCCTATCCTGTCCTATTTGTTTGCCTGGCTACCTATCTACCTATCTACCTACCTACCTACCAACCAATCCATCGATCAATCAATCGATCAATCAATCAATCATTATCCATCTATCTTAGTAATCCTTTCCCGATCCTATGTCCTTTGTCCCATAGGAAATATCCTGTTCCCCGTATCCTATCCATCTAAGTATCTATGCCGCGAAAGGGGTAATAATGTGGGCGAACTTGAGAGGACTTGGTCAACCTCCAAAGATATTTTACGTTCATTATGCTCTTGACAAAGGTGATGCAGGGGTGGCAACTTTTCGGAGCCCAACAACGGCAGGATTAGTTATTTCTAGTAGCAACCATTCAGTTTCGATATGTTTTTGGAAGATTCAAATCTTGACCCATAGCCATGTATATATATAATAATATATATATATATTATTATTATTAATTCCTAGATTAATCATATATATAAACCACCAACATGCACCAAGCATGCTTCTGATTCAAGGGGATTCGGCCAACAACATAGGGTTGACCTAAAAATGAATCAAATGAATCACTAAAAGAGCGACAATTTTGGTTTATCTGCAGGTGCCCCAAAATCCACTGGTTAATCATCTTCCTTACTAATTATGAAAAAATTGGCATAATTTGGCAATCTGTGGTTAAAACATGTTACCCTCTGGTAAACTAACATAGCTATTGAAAATTGCCATTTATAGTGGATTTACCCATTAAAAATGGTGATTTTCCATAGCTATGTTAAATTACCAGAGGGTAAATCCACCATTTTCAGACACACCCACTGGGATATTGGAATGGCTCCCCAGGCTATCCGAATAAAAGTTCCTAGGGATATCCCATGAAATACCATGGTACATCTCCATGAGATTCCCCGTTTTTTTTTCCAGTAAAATCCCAATTGTTCATGGTACCCTCTGGTAAACAAACATAGCTATTGAAAATGGCTATTTATAGTTGATTTACCCATTGAAAATTAAAAAGTGATTTTCCATAGTTATGTTAGTTTACCAGAGGGTACATCCCAATTTTCTTGCTAAAATCCGACATTTTTCTCGTGAAACGTCCCATGTCTTGATGGTTCGATCTCCATCTTAGGCGCGCCGTGCAGAGTTTGTCGGAAGACTTGCGCCAAGCCATGGTGCACTTGGAGGATCTGCGAGGTGGAGCACATCCAGGAGGATGACCTTGTTTTTTTCCAGAAAGGATGGTGAAATCTTCAATTTTTAGTTGGTAATTCCATGGTCCAATGGTGAATAATCCATGGATAATTTATTGTTTGATGAACTTGAGATTATTCCATGGTCCAATGGTAATTCCACGTAATTCCATTGTTTGAGGGATATTCTTGGTGGATTGGGCACGTACTTAGCTATGTAAGTGGGATTTGGCACTCTTAAGTTTGGCATTGTTGATGAAATGCGAGGCGGTTGACCGACAGAAAGATGCATACAATGAATTCAACTTGGCTTGACGCATCAAGTTGGGGATAGAAGTATGGATGGACAATTTATCCATGACGTCCAGCATTTGGCAGCTCCGAACCAATACTTTACTTGTATCATTTGTATCTAATTCTCGATGAAATGTGACGTCACTGGAATGATGGTTAGTTAGGATTCGGGGAATCATCCCCAAATGGCCGTATGATAACAGCTATTTTCAGGCTGGCAATATTTCATAATGCAGCCATACTGATGGTTGATAATTATATTGCCTGGTTATGCCAGTGGAATTTACCATCGAATGTGGATATGATTTGGGGAATTTAACAATTAAAATAGCCAGATATATCCCTCCCTCCATCCATCCATCCATCCACCCATTAGATCCATATGATCCTATCAAATCCATATTGTAAGCTATTTAGCTACCCCAAGTCAAATACATCAAGAATTGGGCCATAGGTGACCTTGCGCGGAAGAAACGCCAAGCGCAGGAGTCTTGTTGGCAACCCACAAAGAGATGGACTTTTGTCAAATCCTGCTAAAATAGTGGTAAGATATGATAAGATGACTTTTCTATCCTTTTCAGGCTTACTTTATCGACATTTTACTAGACTGGTAATTAGGGTGCACCATGGTGCACCCATTGATCCAATGAGGCTACACTCTGGGACCCAAACTGCTTGAGGAAAAGCCATTTTGAACGCTTGGGCTCACAAAGACATGCCTTGTTTTCCGGCGTACGGCAGGCAGTTCACGTTTTTCTGATTCGACATTTCACAGCTGAAGTTCAGAGGATGCAAACCAATCATGGACTCTGAAACGGCCATAGACCGTTCTTCGAGGTCATCAAACTCTTATACCAAGCTGATGCCTGGGCTCAATCCAGGATTGGTACTGGTAGAGTCTTACTTATCTGAGCAAACAAATACATAGGTAATACAACCAATAAAACAGATACAGGATACACAATGTTTGTATTAGAGAATCAACCCACAATACAATATATATATATACATACATGTATATACATATATATATATATGATATATTAGTATAATATAATATAGTATAATATAACATAATTACGATGACAATGACAATGATGATGATGATGATGATGATGATGACGATGATGATGATGATGCTGATGATGATTGTGATGATGTTGATGATGTTGATTATGATGTTGATGATGATGATGATGGTGATGATGATGATGAGGATGATGATGATCATGATGATGATGATGATGATGATCATGATCATGATCATGAACATGATGGTGATGATGATTATGATGATGATGATTATGCTGATGGTGATGATGATGATGATGATGGTGGTGATGATGATGATGGTGATGATGATGATGATGATGTTGATGATGATGATGATTGTGATGTCGAGGACGACTCGTTTACACATGATGTATAGTATAGTTGTATCTACTTGTGCTGCCTCCCACATCCCACGCGTTCTTGCCATGTTTTCCAGTCTCCAACCAGCTTAAGCTGTGGATCAAGGAGCGCCAGTCTCTGGTGGAAGAGCGGCAGCTCCGAAGTCAGCAGCTCAACGAGGAGGGCACCGAAAAAAAACACTTTTTTTTTTTTTTTCCGATGGGAGATATCTACATCTAAGGAAAATTGGACCGGACCCCCCTAAATTGGAAGTTTTCATGCAAACATCAGGGATATAATGTGGATTTGGCAAAGCCATCAGTGCATTAGGGTGCCAATTTTAGCAGATAATACTGTAATTGATTTGACTATTGTTTTGGGGGACAGTAGTTAGGGTTAAAAAATGCGGGGTTGACATTATCTACTGAAAATATTGGAAATGGGATTAGCCATGGTTACACAAAAGACTATGCTACGGACATATCTAAGGAAACTTGATGAACATCCAAATTATCGTATCCAGATTGGTGGTGGCCAGGTATTGAATAGGTAAGGAAAAACTGGAACAACAAATGCCAACTAAGGGCCAATTACCATGTATATTCATTCCTTAGATCGGAAGCACATCGAAACATGTTTATTCTACTTGGGTGGCTAATTATAATTCCCACCTTTGTTGTTACGGCGCGAAAGCCTGGAAAAACATCCCGATTGGCTAACGGAAAAACTAATGTTTTTTTGGGAAACCATGGGGGGATTGGGAATAACAATGGCAAACAACAGCTACCTATCATAATCCTGGTTTCGACGTTGAGAACATTGCCACTTTTCAGGGGTGCAAAATCGTGCAGGACTTGACGTCAGAAAGAAAGCGCTCAGATGAAATGCAACGTGGAATGCCTAGTTGATCGGATGGTTTGATAGACAGCTTATTATTTTACTTTTTTTCTCAAGATCGATTTTCGCCATGCTATGTACGTGTCAAACCAGTCGGACATTTTACCAACTTTTTCTGCTGGATTGGTATCTGGATTTTCATGACATGTCATGGCCATTAGCCAAGGTGTGCTGCTTCGTCTGGAGCAAGGCCTTTGAGGACAATGCCTCTGCGACTTGGCCTTGGGATATGCTGGCATCTTGGTGAATTTTGTGCTCCAGTGACAAGTTGGAAATGGATATACTTTAAGGACACCATATTACAACGCTGGGTTTTCCTCTCGGCGCCACATTTATGCCGTGCTTTTGCAAAGTGGTTTGTTAAGATCTCACCTTGTTTGTGTAGTTGCACGCATATCCTGATGTATATATTTGTAGATTATCCATATATTAATCACACATATTAAGATCTCACCATGTTCAGATATTCGCGAATTTCAGTAGCTGCTACAGATCCTGCTGTTTTTTATTGCCCAGGCCGAGACCGGTGTTCCAATGGCACAAGATGCTGAAAACCAGCTGTTTTGTGCGGAAGAGCATCCAATTAGCTGGTGCAAAAACAAGTTTGTCTGAGCTCAGATGGTTGGGAAAATGCTGTGATTCTTTCGGAATCGCCAGATGAAAGAAATTGAAAGAAACCATAAAGGGTGCCAGAATTCAGAAGCTGAAAGGCGGATGAAGTGCAAGAAGCATTGACCGTTAGATAGCATGATAGCGAAACTGGATGAGTTGGTGGCTTTTTACCAGGTGGCGAGCTTAGGGCCCGTGTTTCTCCCACTATATATAGACTTCCTACATACTGAAAGTAACTATTGGAAGAAACACCTGGGATTTGAGGCTCCCATATTTGTATAGTTGTTTATTCGTTTTTGCTGCGAATTGAGTCTCATTGAAGCGATCCAAGCTTCAAGCGCAACTTGTTGCAGGCACAGGCCAAACTCAGTGGGATTTCTTCCGAGGATGCAGTGCCTCAGCTGAAGTTCAAGTCTCTGGGCTGGACCGACCTTTTGCACCTCAGAAATGGCATCCCCATTCCGGCGAAGATCTTCGGCAGGCAGGATGGATAGACCATTGTCACAAATCTACAGATGAGCAGTTCCCAAAGAAACAGTTAGTTCATGGTGATAGCGGAGTATACTGACCAATATCTATCTATCTAAAAATCTATCTATCTATCTACCTGTCTGTCTGTATATCTATCTAATCTAATCTAATCTAATCAAATCACAAATCTGAATCTTATCTAATCTTATCTAATCTTATCTAATCTTATCTAATCTTATCTAATATTATCCTATCTTATTCTATCCTACCTACCTACCTACCTATCTACCTATCTATCTACCTACCTACCTAACTAGCTAGCTAGCTAGCTGTCTGTCTGTCTGTCTGTCTTTCTATCTATCTATCTCATCTATCTATCTATCTATCTATCTTATCCTATCTATCTTATCTTATCTATCTATCTATCCATCCATCCATCCATCCATCCATCCATCCATCCATCCATCCATCCATCCATCCATCCATCCATCTTATCCATCTTATCCATCTTATCCATCTTATCCATCTTATCCATCTTATCCATCTTATCCATCTTATCCATCTAATCCATCTTATCCATCTAATCCATCTAATCCATCTAATCCATCTAATCCATCTAATCCATCTAATCCATCTAATCCATCTTATAATCCATCTAATCCATCTAATCCATCTAATCCATCTAATCCATCTAATCCATCTAATCCATCTAATCCATCTAATCCATCTAATCCATCTAATCCATCTAATAATCCATCTATCCATCTAATCCATCTAATCCATCTGATCCATCTGATCCATCTAATCCATCTTATCCATCTGATCCATCTGATCCATCTGATCCATCTGATCCATCTGATCCATCTGATCCATCTGATCCATCTGATCCATCTGATCCATCTGATCCATCTGATCCATCTGATCCATCTGATCCATCTGATCCATCTGATCCATCTGATCCATCTGATCCATCTTATCCATCTTATAAATCTTATCCATCTTATCCATCTTCTCCATCTTATCCACCTTATAAATCTTATCCATCTTATCCATCTTATCCATCTTATCCATCTTATCCACCCTATCCACCTTATCCACCTTATCCATCTTATCCATCTTATCCATCTTATCCATCTTACCCATCCTATCCATCTTACCCATCTTACCAATCTTATTAATCCATCTTATCCATCTTATCCATCTTATCCACCTTATCCACCTTATCCATCTTATCCGTCTTATCCATCTTATCCATCTAATCCATCTGATCCATCTGATCCATCTTATCCATCTGATCCATCTGATCCATCTTATCCATCTTATGTATCTTATCCATCTTATCCATCTTATCCATCTTATAAATCTTATCCATCTTATCCATCTTATCCATCTTATCCATCTTATCCATCTTATGGATCTATTCGATCTATTCGATCTATTCGATCTATTCGATCTATTCGATCTATTCGATCTATTCGATTTATTCGATCTATTCGATCTATTCGATCTATTCGATCTATTCGATCTATTCGATCTATTCGATCTAGTCGATCTATTCCATCTATTCCATCTATTCCATCTATTCCATCTATTCCATCTATTCCATCTATTCGATCTATTCGATCTATTCGATCTATTCGATCTATTCCATCTATTCCATCTATTCCATCTATTCGATCTATTCGATCTATTCGATCTATTCCATCTATTCTATCTATTCTATCTATTCTATCTATTCTATCTATTCTATCTATTCTATCTATCTATCTATCTTTCTTTCTATCTATTCTATCTATTCTATCTATTTTATTCTATCTATTCTATCTATTCTATCTATTTTATTCTATCTATTCTATCTATTCTATCTTATCTCTCTTATCTCTCTTATCTCTCTTATCTCTCTTATCTCTCTTATATATCTTGTCCAATCTGTCCAATCTGTCCAATCTGTCCAATCTGTCCAATCTGTCCTATCTGTCCTATCTGTCCTATCTGTCCTATCTGTCCTATCTGTCCTATCTATCCTATCTGTCCTATCTGTCCTATCTATCCTATCTCTCCTATCTTATCTATCCTATCTTATCTATCCTATCCTATCTTATCTATCCTATCTTATCTATCCTATCCTATCTTATCTATCCTATCCTATCTTATCTATCCTATCTTACCTATCCTATCTCATCTATCCTATCTTATCTATCTTATCTATCCTATCCTATCTTATCTATCTATCTTATCTATCTTATCTATCTTATCTATCTTATCTATCTTATCTATCTTATCTATCTTATCTATCTTATCTATCTTATCTATCTTATCTATCGTATCTATCTTATCTATCTTATCTATCTTATCTATCTTATCTATCTTATCTATCTTATCTATCTTATCTATCTTATCTATCTTATCTGTCTTATCTATCTATCTGTCTGTCTGTCTGTCTATCTATCTATCCTATCCTATCCTATCCTTTCCTATCCTATCCTATCCTATCCTATCCTATCCTATCCTATCTATCTATCTATCTAATCTAATCTAATCTAATCTAATCTAATCTAATCTAATCTAATCTATCTATCTTATCTATCTATCTTATCTATCTACCTTATCTATCTATCTATCTATCTTATCTTATCTTATCTTATCTTATCCTATCCTATCCTATCCTATCCTATCCTATCCATCTATCTATCTATCTATCTTATTGAGTCATAATGTCCGACACTCAGTAAACCTTTGACGTGCCTGGGAGCAAATGCACGGATTCAATGTATACCCAAAAAAGTATAAGGAAACGTATATGATTTACCACTGTTTTGTACGCTTTTTCTGAGTTGCTGTAGACTGTGCAGAGCCTACAATTGCATTTTTGAGAGATCATGCTTTCTGCAGACTCACCGGCATGATGTCCTTTTGGCCTATGGGGGCGACATTCCCTCTTTGTTACCGCACTTTCATGGTAGATATGAATGATTATTGCATATATACCCTTCACTGGTACATACAGTATCTATATACCTGTCAATTTTCCTTGCTTTTCCATCTATCTGTCTGTCTGTCTGTCCGTCTGTCTGTCTGTGTGTCTGTGTGTCTGTGTGTCTGTCTGTCTGCCTGTCTGTCTGTCTATCTATCTGTCTATCTAATTGGCATCTATCTATCAACAAATTATATATAATTATATATATATATATATGTGGTACATTATTCATGGGTACCCCCGAATCATCCAAAATTAGATCGTTTTAGTATTGACACCCATGGTTTTGGGGATGCTCCCATTTTAAGAACCCCCCCATACATATATATATATATATGTATATATTCCACAGTATGTATTATCTGAACCCAGCTTTGCAACTCAACCACAGGTTCCAAGGTTCCAGGGTTCCAGACCGCTGGAAACCGGAAACCGTTTTTTCGTATCGGCAAAAAGACCGCACAAACCCAATAGTCACTGTTGTTGGACATATGTATATATATATATACATATTATATTATACTGATAGATATACACGTACATATCGATACATATTTAATATATATATATATATAATTATATATAAATATAAATGAATAGATTTACCCATTCTGGAAGAGATTTAGAATACAATAAGATCCAAGGACCAGCGATAGCCGCTGCAGGTGCGAAACTCCTCAGCCTGGATTTGCGCCAAGGTCAAAACCATGGAAAGACGTCAGGGGAACCCAAGGAACAAGGGTACCCTCGGAATTGGACAGTTTTGAGGGCCTCACTGACAAGTCATGAGATGGTTTTTTTGCTTTCTAGCATCAATATTACCATCAATAGTGAGGATTATTGGGATTTAAACATCAATGGGGATATGCCCTCCTATTTGATGGGAAAGAGACATGGAAAACATGCCTTCCTGGAAATAGCAATCCTAAGTCGATCCTGAAGAGGGCCGTCCGAGAATATAAGAATACCACCAGAATTGCTATTTCAATCTGACGGATGATGAGAAACCATTAGATTTGGGTACACCCCGTTCTTGGATAAGCCCCTATGGATCCCTATCAAAATGTTCAAACAGGGTGGTCAAGGATATGTTCTTCAATGTGCCCTGGATGGTCCTATTGTTTTTCGGACGTCCATCAGGGGACAGATGATCCAACGGCGAAGCCACGCTGAACAAATGCAGGATCGACTTATACAGTATGTTGTTGCAAGCATAGTGTACCTCACAAAATCCATGCATTTCCGGCTTCCAGTCGGACCAGAATGGTGGTATGTGGCGGTTCCTTTGATGTAGCGGAACGGGCATGACCAATCATAGAACATCGAACTACCGGGTTTAAGTCATTCAATATTGTTGAGAGTTGCCAATCATTTGTATCTATCTATTTGCCTGTCTATCTTTCATTATCTTTCTATTTTTCTGTCTATCGATCCTATCCCATCCTCTGTCCTATATCCTATAGCCTACATCCGATATCCCATCCTATCTGTCCGACATGCAGGGTTAGAGTACTGTGGAATACTGCTATACCGCAATTGTACCCTCTTCTCTTCTGGGTCTGTTTTTACAA